GCCCATTCATAGGGCTGCATGAATGCTCAAAGCCATATTGAGAGAATTATGTTAAAAGGACTCAAACAGTGATTGTATTTTCTGCTTTAACATGCTTCAGCAAAGTATATAAAGCATTTATCAAGCTTAGAGCACACTCTTTCAATTCAAATGTATGTTTTTGTTGGCAGATCATGTTTTAGAGTGCTGTAATGTAGTAAATAATAAGAATTATGTGCAGATCATTTACATTAAGCTTATAGGCCCGTAATTGTAGGCACACACTTTGTGGTAGTGTAGTTGTTATTTCTTGGCATATATTAGACCCCTTAATGTCAAATGAACATTGTTTCAATCTAAAAATCTTAGCATTGTTTCATTCCTTGATTAGCTTTTTTCTTGTAATGATGCACTCCAGCAGCACAACACCCCTTCTCCGGTGTTTCTTGTAGTGATGCATTCCAGCAGCACAACACCCCTCCTCCGGTGTTTCTTGTAATGACGCATTCCAGCAGCACAACACCCCTTCTCCGGTGTTTCTTGTAATGATGCATTCCAGCAGCACAACACCCCTTCTCCGGTGTTTCTTGTAGGGATGCATTCCAGCAGCACAACACCCCTTCTCCGGTGTTTCTTGTAATGATGCATTCAAGCAGCACAACACCCCTTCTCATTAGACCCCTTAATGTCAAATGAACATTGTTTCAATCTAAAAATCTCAGCATTGTTTCATTCCTTGATTAGCTTTTTTCTTGTAATGATGCATTCCAGCAGCACAACACCCCTTCTCCGGTGTTTCTTGTAATGATGCATTCCAGCAGCACAACGCCCCTTCTCCGGAGCACACAGAATTCCAAGATAGGTCTATGAACATATCAATATATTCAGAATACTCCAGTGGCCTCTACAAAGAGCATATTTAGGATAATATGGACCAGAATGAATGAACAGTCAACAAATAAGCAGCAATTGTGACACCTATATCTAAACGTGAGGTCAGACTGTAATTGCCATGGAGTCCCAGGTAACTGTTGCATCATTCACAGCTTGACTATTTATCCTGAGAATAAACCAGGAGACTACAATATTGTAGTTGTCAAGATTTATTAAGTGCACCTTTGATATGCTGTTTGACTGACACAAAACGCTAATATCACAGGAGCACAAGACTTGCAAAATATTGGTGGACAGCTGCTGGTTTTATTTGCCACTTTTTTAAATTCAGCCTTATTTTGATAATAATTTGGCAAGAGATAGTTTGGTGGGGCAGAGTTGTAAATAGCAGCTGCTGACCAGTAATATACATTTTTATTATCTTGGGCATACCAGTATATATATGTCCTTGTGCTACCCTATGATTAAAGCAGCCTTAACTTCAAGCCTAAATTAGCACTAACCTTAAAGGTAAAAGATCAAGCGATATAAACAATACACAATATTGAAGTGTGCATTAGGGAGACGTAATGCCATCTCAGGATTGTGAAGTAAGAACAAAAGAATATACACCCAAGGATACAATTATTGACCTCTCTCATTCTAGAAACCATCAATGGCATTATTTTATTATTATGTATTTAATCCATATAAACATTATATGTATATTTTGTGGTTGATTGAATTCATTTTTGTAGCATGTGAGAAAAGCCAAAATCTAAAATGCAGCCACTGAATACAGTATATATTGTAAAAGGATTTACTGGAATTCAATTTGTTAAACAGATATTGAAATATACAAACACTGCAGAATAAGTACTGTGATTAAGTATCGGATGTGTAAATTATTAGTGTTGCTTCACAGGTTCTTGTTCAGAGATTGTCAAGGCAATGTGATCACTGGGACAATTGCCTCGATAGACGGAACCAAGCATTGTTAATTTATGTCTGAGCATAAAACTAAAATATACCCATATCAATAAAATGGGACTTTGAGACTCAAAGCAAAATCACCAAACACATATATTTAATCATTAAAATATTCTCTGTAAATGTTCTCCATCTTGTATATTAGGAGGATAAAATGATAGTACAATACTACAAACCTTTAGATAAGAAAAGGATTTTATGGAGGAAATTTTATAGATGATAAACAAAGTTTGATTGTCTCCTATTTTATTTTGCCTCATTATTTGCTTTGTGAAAGAAGATACAGTGTCATCCACTTACCTTGGAGAAATCAATACAATTTTATTATGTTAGGAAATAAGGGCTTTATGTTGAAACTTAAACTCTCTTTATGTAGCACCTGCGTCTCTTAAGCCAAATATAATGGAATAGTGTTTGCTCATAACCATCCCCCAAATGTCAAATATGTAAGAAATAAAATATAAAAGCTGTACAAAATTCATCCATATTATGAAATTCTACTCAAATATAGGCTGTTATGTAGCATGTTTTATTTTTTTAAATGCTACGTTTCGCCCACAACTGTTAAATTAAAAAAAAAAAAAAATGATGAAAAGAATGAGTACTAACCAGAGAAAAATATGATCTATTAGACAATGAACTAATGAGGTTTAAAAAGATATATTTAAAATCCAGGTATTAATCAGAGAAAGAAAAGGGGGGGGAAAAAAAGATTACAAACTAGCATGCATTTATTTTAATGATCATTTTCATTATAATATGTGATGTTAAAAAAGAAATATTTTTAAATGGTGAATATAGATGCACAGGAAAACATACAATGTCTGCAATTTAAGCAGCATTTTTAAGTAGATTTTATTCTGCCCAGGAGAAGAGTGGTGATCATAATATAGTGTTCAATTAGATTAAATTTAAATATATATATATATATATATATATATATATATATATATATCCTGACGAAAGCTCCATGTGTGAGCTGAAACGTTGATCCCTTCTGGCAGTTGCTGAATAAAGCTAAGTTGTTTTTTTTCACCTTATATGAAGTCCCTGGAGTGCTTTTCACTATTTTCTACCTATTACTTGTGCCGACAAGCACCGGGCCATATAGATTATCTTACAGGAGTGCAAGCATTGGACAATATTATATATATATATATATATATATATATATATATATATATAATTTAAAAAAAAAAAATAAAAAAAATTTGGAAGTTCAAAGTGGGTCACGAAAAGATAAAACTGCCTGAAACCAGTGCTGGAAATATTGGATCACATGTGTATGTGCCTAATTGGGTGTGCAAGTGCATATTCCTATACAAACACAAAGATAAAGCACCGCGCTTACAGCAGCAGTAGCTTAGTATCCAACAGCTTAAAATACATAGTAAAAACAAAGAGTGCATATTCATGTTTGTCTGCTTGTGTCTGCATGAGTGTGTTTGTTGCTTATGAGTTGCGCGAGTACCTAGCCATAGTTGTATATAAATAGTGTTGGAACATTTCCTGTTACTACTTTACCTGGCGGGAACCATCCTCCTATGCCATGGACTCTGGTTCTGTCTAGCCAAAGTTCTCCCCTTGTGGTTCAGATTACAAATGAAACAGACACTAGACAGAACAAAGCAAGGGTTTACATATGCTTGCAAATAGAAATTTCAGACTTTCAGGGGTGTGCATAATTGGGCAACAAGGGGTGTGCATAATTAAGTAATAAGGGATGTACATAAGTAAGCAAACAGGTTGAGATGTTTTGTGCAATCATATTGCAAACTGGTAAGAACTCGCTTTAGCTAGGAGTAAAATTATCTTTTAAGAACACTGAGCAAGATATGTTTGCTGACTCAAGAAGTGTCCTTGAGGGACAGTAAAAAATAAAAAAATGATTTTTGACACTTTCATCTAGTTATAGGTATTAGTGGCTATTGAGTTGTGTATGAGTGCCTAGCCATATATGTGTATATGATTTTCCCCTAAGCCTCTTTGAGGTCTTCGAGGTCCACACACAACAAAGTGTCTCCCAGCCACTTTAAAGGGAAGCCGTCAACAAGTTTGTATCGCTCTGTTAGGAGATACACAGTGAACCAGACCCTTGCTCTTTTAACAGATTCTGCTGCAATTAGCCCCAAGCACACAATTAATAATAACTTAGCATGTAAAGTGTTTCAAGCAGAAACACTGCACATACATACTCTTACCACCATGGCCACTTGAAATCATGGTCATGATGGTGGCAGTACCATTATAAGTATGTATGCATGAGATAAGTTACATGTGTGTGAGCATGTAATCACTAATTTTACATACATATGCATTATGAATATTTAACATATTCACAAATGTGTTGTGTATGTACTCTTACACCACATAAAATGCATACACATCAGTGTGGCTAGTGTATGGGGGGGGAAAAAACAAGTACATAACAACAAAAACAACACAAATATATATAGCCTATTTTTTTGTTTTCTCTGTTAAAAGAGATAAAAATTGCTATTACAATGGCATGTTTGATATTTCTTATTGACTAAAGCTGTTGAACTAGAGCAGTTAGTAACCCCCACTGCAGTCAATTTAATTCAGAATTAATAAAGTAGCTTAAAAGACAAGAAATACAGGGTGCGCTAAGTGAAACAATGGGAGATAATCAAGATAGATTAAAAAAAGTCTCTTATAGATACAATGTAGACCTTGGGTGTATATTCTTTTGTTCTTCCTTTGAATTCTCAGTGGTCAAATATGAAATACAAAAGCAGAGAAGGGAGACCAATAGTGCAAAACCGTTTTGAGGGATGGATCACGAACAACACAGAAGGGAAGAAGTGCCAACTTACAATATAAAGAGCTATGCCCAGCCCTAGGTAAAACAGCATACAGTGGTATTTGATACTCCCCACATTTAGGATATTACTGGACTATTGGAGGTGTCTCCTCACAGCATGTCAGATAAGCGTCAGCATATAAAATACATAAAAGAGGGAAAAACCCAATGGTGCAATAACGTAGGTAATACTGCAACAACAGACAACACTGAGGTCCTAAGAGTGCTAACTTACAATTTGGAGAGCTATAACCAGTAGAGATGTCACGAACCGTCCGCGAACTTCTTGCGAACTGTTGGCGGCGAACTCCGGTCAGCTGACACGTCCCGGCCAATCTCCAGCAGACCCTCCCTCCCAGACCCTCCTACTTCCTGGATGCTGTCCAGGAAGTAGGAGGGTCTGGGAGGGAGGGTCTGCTGGAGATTGGCCGGGACGTGTCAGCTGACCGGAGTTCGCCGCCAACAGCTCGTGGCGAACCGTTCGCGAGAAGTTCGGGGACGGTTCGCGACATCTCTAATAACCAGCTCTGAGGAAAACAGCATACAGTGGTATTTAAACTCTCCACATGTAGGATATCCTTCTAGCGATGCTTGCAGTGCCGGTCTTATGAAAATAAAATCACAAGAGAGGGCCCATAGTGTTTTCCATATATAAAATGACAGTAGAAAATAAAATGAAACATACTTACAGTGTTCAGAGCAGTCACACTGCTCTATGAACCAGGCGTAGGTGGAATAATCCCCACCAAGGATTTCTTTTGCAGTACTGGATCTTTAAAAACTGTAAAAATCAGCCAGGATAAAAAAGCAACATATAAAGTAAGTGTACCGACCATAGGCAAGTGGTAGTCACAAAATACTTTAATTAAAACAGAGTAATATAAAAAACACAATGCGTATCGCCAAACAGTAGGCTTTATCAAGTGACACTTGTGACAATCAATGCCTATATGTCTAATCTGAATGGTTTAATAAAACTAGATGTAAAGTGAATTAGTCTATCATTGTCTATAAATAAATAAAATATTTCATCAGAGAAAAAGGGGTTACACTCATCTTGTAATTTTAGTTTTATAAGCTCGAAATACATCCTGTAATTTTGCATAGATAGAACTATCTGGGTGCATGCAAGCACAAATAAACATGTTTTCAATATTAAATAGGACAAGTGCAAATAGCAAATAGTCTCCAGAGCAGTTTGCTAGCTGCCGTCTCATTAAGTAACGGATCTTCAGAATACAGAGACGTTTAGTGAAGAATGTGATTGATGAGTAATCTATGCATTGCATACATGTGTGCAAAGGCTTGACTTTTAGAATTCCATTTGAATCTTGGCTGCCAATATATACAGGTGTGCAGCTGTTGCTAGGAAACATAATAAACAGTGTTAACAACATTATTAAGTATTTTAATGTGACTCAAATAGCATATAATATATTGTAGTGTGTACATGTAAACAAACACACACAATGCTAAAGGATATATAATAAACTATTTGTGATTTGAAATATATATATTTTCATAGATTGTTTTCCTCATAACAATCAGATATTGTATGCTCATAACTCATTCAGTTGCTTTGGAATGCAGCTACCACTATGCTCATTCAAATATTGATATATAACAACACTGGCTGACATAGACTGACCCATTGTTAACAGTCCACAAAAGAACTTAGCTTTGTTTCATAGGTCCCATTATACATAAAACATTACATAACATATATAACATATATATGTCAGGATTACTAGTTGATCCAGCACGTAGGATTGTGTCACACAGAGGACTAATAGGTAACGTATTACCGGTCCTTAGATTGGCAGGACTTAACGCACCAAAGAATAGTCAGGATACTTGCTGAGGTCAGGGGGCACAAAATGAGACACAACGATAAGGGAAAGCCAGAAGTCAGGGATACCAGAATACAGGGAAGTCAAATGAAGCCAAAGTCAAAAAACAGAATTTAACCGCTCAGGAGCACACTCTCGGACAACCACTAGGGAAACCACAACAGGGCAATGAAGAAAAGTAATTTTGAGCTTAAATAAGTGCTTTACATTTCTTATTGGCCGAGAGCGGCCTTTGACCCCAAAACACGTGCGTGCGTCTCCCATGTGATGTCACACGCACGCCGACGTCGTCATTAATGTGGGCGGACATGGGGTATAATTGGGCTTGGATACGCAGCGGCTGGTGACCATTAACATTGTTGCAAGAGTCATTTGTACAGACGCATGGCCGCTAGGCGCAACTACCGCAAGGTGAGGGAGAATATGTTACCTTACCCCCTTCCTGAGTACCTCGGGCAAGACCAGGCTTGATGTATATTCTTTTATTTTTTTTTATATGAATTAAAAGTTACATTTTATTATAAATTTCAAAAACCCTGGAGTGCATTCCGTTTACTTGGATATCTAATATATATATATTAGATCTTGATAAAGACCCCAGGAGGGTCGAAACGTCGATTTTCTTTTCACAGAATTTGTACCATGCTTTGATACAGTAAATACTATTTTTTCCACTTAATTGAAGTCCTAGTGGGCTCCCTTTATTTGTTAGTATATATTTGTTAGTATATATTTGTTAGTATATATATATATATATATATATATATATCTACCTGAGTGTCATCAGTGTACAGGTGGTATTGGAATCCAAATTAGGTAATGAGTTTTCCAAGAGAGGCAGTATAAAGAGAAAATAGAAGGGGACCAAGTACAGAGCGTTGGGGGACTCCAACAGAGACAGGACGAAGGGAGGAGGTATCATTAAAAAAGCAGACACTGAATGAGCATTGGATAGATAAGAGGAAAACCGAGAGAGGACAGTGTCACAGAGACCAAGTGATTGAAGAGTTTGGAGAAGAATAACATGGTCAACAGTGTCAAAGGCAGCAGAGAGGTCAAGAAGAATTAGTGTGGAGTAGTGCCCTGTTGATTTAGCTGTGATTAGGTCGTTAGTCACTTTAATTAGAGCAGTCTCAGTAGAGTGGAGGGGGTGGAAGCCAGACTGAAGAGGGTCAATGAGAGAGTTGGAATTGAGGAAACAAGTCAGATGGCTAAAGACCATTCTTTCCAGAAGCTTTGAGGAAAAAGGGAGCAGGGATATGGGATGATAGTTGGAAGGGGAGAACGGGTCAAGAGATGTTTTTTTAAGATGGGTACTACAGTAGAATGTTTAAGGGCAGCAGGGACAACACCAGATGAGAGAGAGCAGTTGAAGATGTGTATTAAGGAACACACAAGACAAGAGGAGAGAGATCTGATAAGGTGACACGGGACAGGATCAAGCGGGCAAGTGGTGGGGTGAGAGGAAAAGAGAAGTGCAGCCACCTCTTGTTCAGTAGCCTGGGAGAAAGTCTGAAGTGTAGGAAAGGCATGGTGCAGGTGTGGTTGAGAACTAGAGGGGCAAGGTGGTGAGAATTCGTTCCTTAGCTGTTCAATCTTGTGGGAAAAGTAGCATGCAAAGTAATCGGCTGTAAGGTAAGTTTGGGGGATGGCAACAGCAGGGCAAAGAAGTGAGTTAAAGGTATTAAAAAGATGCATGGGATTGCAGGAGCATGAGCTAATGAGGGAGGAAAGGTATGACTGTTTGGCTGTGCTGTATGAACACAAAATGAATTTGTAATGGAGGAGATCAAACTGGGTGCATGACTTTCTCCAGCAGCGTTTAGCAGAACAGGTGCATCTCTGTAGGTAGCGTGTTGTTTTAGTGTGCCACAGTTGGGGATGTGTTCTCATCAAGGTGCATGTTTGGAGCAAGGCTGCAGCATGCAGGTGAAAAGTAAGGGTAGCAAATATGAGGAAATAGCCAGTGAGTTACAGGAGAAAGTAGGGATGGATAGAAGTTGGGAATAAATATTAGCTGATAGCTGCTAGAGGTCAATTAAATTCAGATTTCTTAGTTGAGGGGGGTTAGGTTGAGGATGTTGGGGTAAGGAGCTATTGAGAGCAAATGATAAGAGGTGGTGATCTGAGAGAGGAAAGGGAGTGTTGCAGAGATTAGAGATTGTACATTGATGAGAGAAAATAAGATCAAGGGTATTGCCAGCTACATGAGTGGGGGACTTAGCCCAGTGTGATAGCCCAAGGAGGAGGTCATTGAAAGTAGTTTTGAGACTACTGAGGGCAGGTTAATGGGAATGTTGAAGTCCCCAAGAATTAGGGATGGAATATTAGAGGAGAGGAAGTAGGAAAGCCAAGCAGCAAAGTGGTCATGCAAGAGGAGAGGGGATCCAGTTGGACGATAGACAACAGCAATGTTAGCAGAGATGGGTTTGAAAAGGCAAATTGAATGAATTTCAAATGATGAGAACGAGAGGGGGGAGGGGTGGGTAGAGGTTTGAAGGAGCAGTGAGGTGAGAGCAGAAATCCTACACCACCGCCTTTGCTTTCAGAGTTTCTTGGGTTGTGGGATAATTGAAGACCAGCAAAGGAGAGAGGCATGGGTAGCGGTGTCAGAGGGAGAGAGCCATGTTTCAGGTAAGGCTAATAAGTCTAGGGAATGAGAGATGAAAAGGTTGTGCACAGCAGTAGATTTAGTAACACTGCAAACAGAGCGTGAATTCCAGATGGCAGAATGGAAGGAGGATTTAAAGGAAGAGTGACATGAGATGGGTATGAGATTATTGTGATTCCTGGAGAACATCACCAGCTTTTGTGAGAGGGTTTGTATTTAGAGGTTTTAAAAAGGGTTGGTGGAGACTGGCTGGAAATGTATAAGTAGAGTGCATGGGATGGATAAAGAGGGGAAGGAAGTAAAGTGGGAGCAATGAAAATGGTGTCAGCAGCGACAGGTGAGCAGAGGAATAAAGAGATTTTGCTAATTAGAGAGGTAAGAGTGAAAGTAATGAATATAAGGGAGAGCATTCTCTAAGGAGAATAAATTAGTTTATATTATAAATAAGGAAAATTAGGATTTTTAGTTATGCAAAATTAGAGGTGGGATCTTAAAGTCACATGAGAGATGAGAGGGGTCAGGGGTTGCAGGTAGGGAGTGTGATAGTTGAGCAGATTATGAGGGTTTGAGAGACATAATTAGTGTGTTTGGAAAGTCAGGTAAGTTATGCTATCTATAAATGTAGTGAGTTCTGTGGGGTGGGGTGGTGAGGGCAGGGGTGGGCAGGAAGCAATCAATCAGTTTTCCTGGCACTGCAGGTCCCCTCTCCCTCCCACCACCCATCCCCGGTTCAGCGGTGGTTTCTGGTCGCCGCCGCTCCTCCCCTTCATCATGGAGAACCGCCGCTCTCCATAGGAAAGCATTGAAAATGCTTTTCAATGCTTTCCTATGGGGAATTGAGTGACACTGGAGGTCCTCACACAGCATGAGGATGTCCAGCGACACTCTAGCACAGAAAACCTGAGCAATGAAGCAGGAACGGCCCTCTAGTGGCTGTCTACTAAACAGCCACTAGAGGAG